TTTGAATGAAAGTGGGGAGATTATTATTGTGGCGAGCTTAAGAGAAGTCCTCGTCATGAGAAGCTTAATTTGGATAGGGAAAAAAAAGAATAAAAAGAGAACTATTACTTAGTAAATGACATGCTCTAATAGTGACAAGCTTAATTTTGTCATTCATCCATGGGTTGAGGCTTTAAGAGACAAACCCCCAAAATAAAACCAATCTCAATCTAATAAAATGATAATACCCAGATTCCAATTTCAAATGAATTCTCAATACTACTAATCAATTTTCATACACTAAAAATCCTACAACCAAAAGATATTATTAAGATCCAAAGCACTACCAATAATTTAACAGTGCAAAAAAGGCACATGAGTAACTTAACCAAGTTCACTTCCACACTAGCTTCCCCCCCCCCCCTAAAGCTATACCAAAAATGATTCAAAACGATATATGGACACAAACCCAAAACCCGAAACGAGAAGAAGGGGAAATCGCAAATTTTCTAAACAATAATTAATCCAAAAAATATGATCCGAAATAGATCCAAAACACACAAAACCCTAATTCCGATAAACCCAACAAATCACCAATTGGATCCAATCAGCGATTAATAGTTTACCTTCTTGAACCTCTTCTCCAGAGGTTCGTTCGTCGAATAACTGAGAGAATTTTTAATTCAACGGCTGTGGTGGGCCCGCCGGAGCTGCAACCATCTCATCGCCTCCATTCATTTCTCTCTCACTATCTCTCTTGACTTGTCTCTGCTTGAGTATTCCACTGCCTGATAATCAAACGGTAAAACGGAAAATGTAAATGCCCAGATTTCAACAAACTCCCAGAATCAAATTAAAGATCGCATATTGAGTTCGCTTTTTCGTTAGCTAAATATTGAAATATTGTTTCGCTTTCTATTATAATTCAACCATTGATAATATCCCAAAGAAACACAAGCAAGCAGACACCCAAAGGCCCAAATTTTATTCACATCCGATGACTATAATGTGTAGGTTCTCCAGAACCATACACTCACCTACACACCAGTAAGTATTTACCTTGAGCATAAAATCGAAGAACATGCGATAATAATTACCATCTAATCACTCCGATCATCAGATTGTGTAGGTTTTCCAGAACCATACACCCATCTGCACACTAGTAATGACCTACCCTAAGCACACAACAAAAGAGTGTAATAACTACCCTTATACAATCACTTCGATTACCAAATTGTGTAAGTTTCACAGAACCATACACTCACCTGCATATAAGGATAGGCATGGAACCCGACCCGGGTCGAGTTTTACATTGAAATTTTTAGAGTCGGGTCAGAATCGGGTTGGGGGCTAAAACAATCCTACTTGACCCGAACAGTAAATGAATTATTGTTATTATTTTACTTTCCCTAATGTCTCTTTACCTATTCTACCCAAGCATCTCCTTCAGCCTTCAGCAATTCCAAACACTTAACACAGAGGTCAGAGCCAACGACGCAAACGCAGCTACTCGCTTTACATATTCGTTGGTTCCTTCTTTTACGAGCTTCGTTTCTGGGTTCAATTATATGCTATTTTAGGTTCAATTAAGTGCTGATCTACACTTATATGTTGTTTTAGGTTCAATCAAGTGGATTTCTACAAGTCCTCTCTGTCTCTCTACTTCAACTTTCAGTTTACATCTTCGTTGGTTCCTTATTTGACGAGATCTGTTTCTGGGTAGAGAAAATCCTACCACTTTGATTTCCCCATTTTCAGTTATCTGATTTTGATTTTATCGTTTATTGTTTTTCTTTGTTATGTATTTTATTGATTCGGTCTTGTTATACAAACTAATGATCTTTTGAATTGGGTTATTTGATATGCTTATGTATATTAGAATTAAATCGGGTCGGGTTTTTAAACTGTCCATCGGGTCAGATCGGGTCACGGGTGGAGGTACCCTTCTTCTCGGGTCGATTCGGGTCAGCCCAAAACCCGACCCATGCCCATCTCTACTACACACCAGTAAGGACTTACCATGAGTACATAGTAAAGGAGTCTGCGGTAATAACTACCCCTATCCAATCACTCCGATCACCAGATTGTGTAGGTTTCCCATAACCATACACCCACCTGCACACCAGTAAGGACTTACCCTGAGCACACAACAAAAGAGCCTGCGGTAATAACTACCCTAATCCAATCACTCCGATCACAGATTATGTAGGTTTCCCATAACCATACACCACATGCACACCATTAAGGACTTACCTTGAGCACACAGCAAAAGAGCCTGCAATACTTCATTCAATAATACTCCCAATGACAATAATAAATATGTATGTATTGGAGTGAAACGATATTAATCCATATTCAGAAATCAGGTACAAAACACCTTAACCAAAAATCATATTAGATATATGCAATAAATCAGCTATCAAATAAATAGTATTCAGACATCGGATATTGTCTCATAAAATATTTAGTATCCTCAGAAATGTAAAAGAATTTAGATAGATGGCTTAAAACAGTAAGGTAACACTGTCAGGAAACATAAATGTAACAGTCTGAAAATTGGATAGGGAAGCTACTATTGAGTCTGTCGATCACGATCTACGACAGAGCTGGATCTTACGAATCGAAAAAATCCATATCACAATCCTAATATGAATAATCTTCCTTTATTTAAATAATTTAAGGAAACCTACGGGTAATTCTCGTAAAACGCAGATCTGACAGATCTGACGAACGAAAAACAATGGACCTAATTAACTCTCGCTCAGGTGAAACACAAGTACCTTAATAAAAATATCTTATCGAATCAATTTCTATAACCATATCTCAAATAAATAAGCAAAATGCTAAAAAAAAAACTAAACATTTTTGGGTTAACGAGCTTGATTCGGGGCTTTCGGGTTAGAATTTGATAAAACGGACTTTAGAATTGGACTCATGACATCGAAAAAAAATATGACTTTTCGAAAATTTTGACTTTTTGGTCAAAGTTAACGGTCAACAGTCAAGTCGGGTCGGACCGGGTTGGTCAAACCGGTTTCACACTTACCACATGCGGTGGACATTCCCCACGCGTAAGGGCGGCGCGTGGGGGCGCGTGCGGTGTCCTAAGGGCTCCGAAAAATTACGAAAAAATTTATAAAATTATTTTAAGGGATTTTGACACACTTACCAAGCTCGGTTCACAATTTTAAACGGCGGAGAGCTCAATTTTAAAATATTGGAAACTTTGACTTCCTCATCCCCTCACACTCTGGCGACGACAGAGACAAGAAGGACACCGGTGGGCTCGGAACGATACAAGGAACACGATGGTGCGGGAGGTGTCGAAAACGGAGTATTGATCGACAATGAATAGACGATTTTCACAACGATGGTGTTAAAAAACTTCGAAACTTTGAATCAAAATTCACGGCTTTAGACAACGTTTCACGACGAGAGGTTTACGAGGTTTTGTTCACCGGTTGACGAAGAACACGATGATAGTTTCAGATCGACAAACGGTGACCGGACGGTGACGGAATTGACCTTGCAAATAAGGTTAGCGGGGAAGAAGTTTCTGGTTTCTCACAAAAACCAATTTCAACGCAATTAATAGAATTGTCTATCGACACAAAATGATAAAATTTAAGGTTACGTCTCTGAATTTCCTTCAACTCATAAAATGACCTACAAGTTTTGGAAACTTTTAATTTGACCCTCAAATTTCACCAAATTGCTTATTTATTTATTATTTTTTCAGGCTGTGACATTTAACGTTTATTTTATATTTCAATTCGATACTACACCGTTAAAAAATTAACATAAATGCTGACTTGATATTTTTTATTTTTAATGATGATATGACATTATCTTATAGTGATAAATTAACATCATCATTAAGTTTTTAACAGTAGAATATCAAATGAAACATAAACTAAATGTTAGGTCTAATTTTGAGAAAAATAAAGTTTAGGTATCAAAATAGAACAAAAATAAGAAAGTATTAGCTTAGGTGATAAATGTATAGTTTACTCTTTTATTTAATGCTTTTTGACTATTGGGATTTTTTTTGCTTTTATCGTGTGATTTTTGTAAGATGATAAATAATAAATACAAATAGTTATATGGACATAACATTCAACAAAGCTTCTTTCGTATTTATAGTTTTACTGGACTTGTCTACAATGGTACAACACTGTAGTAGACAGTGTCGGTGACCAGTAATCCTTTTATTTTAATTAAAAATAATAAAACGTCTGAAGAAAACTGAATGCCCAAGTTTCAATGTACAGACATTAATATTATTAATTTTATTTAATAATTTTGATAGGTTTAAAAGGGTTTTTCTTTTAAACATATAATTGAAAATTTAATATGTTATACTTTAAAAAAATTAAAAATAATATTATTAAAAGCATAATGATAAATCTAAAACATGATCCAGTAAATAAATATGAATAATATAAAATTATATTCTGTTTATCTACTTTTAATTTGACCTATCAAACTGATTATATTTTATTGATAGACGCTTAAAATAATTAAATATTGAACATATTTGAGTTATGATAAAATTAATTTATCGATATATTATTGATGATTAAGTTAAGGTGATGTTTGTTCATGTTGGATTTTAATAAAAAAAATTATATTTTATTGAAACTCGTCACTTCAAGATGACGAGTTTGAATAAAAATATTTTTATTGAAACTCGTAATCTCATTGTGACTAATTCCATTAACACTGTAAAAAATGTTCTATATCCCAAAATATAAACCGAGATACCCTATGGGCTAAATAAAAAACCCCTTATCCTTATTGGGCCAAAAGATCCTCAAAGAAGCTCAAATCAGTGCAACATCACTCTCAACCCAGACCCTTGAATTTCATGTCTGATAATCAATTTGGGCCATTTCCATGTTCCGAGTTAATACGGTCCAGAATTAGTATGAGTATGGGTCGGGTCATGGGTTGAATTAGGGCTAATCTACCGAACCTGTTTTGTTATAAAAAGGCCCCCTTCATTCCATTTGTATGAGTCTCCTCCACCCAAAGACACTGCCTCATCTCTTCTTTGATTCTCATCTTATCCCTTTCTCACGAAAGTGTTTACGTTCCTCGTAAGGTTTCAAATTTTTTTCTTTATTCCTTCATTCAATCATTTCCATAAGTCAAGCTTAAGAGAAGAAGAAGAAATCCTTTTTTTTTCCTTTACTGGGTTTGCTCTTACTTTTTGCGGTCTGCGTGCTTGTTTTATTTTTATTTTTGCCAGGATATTGCGTAAGGTGTTTTCTTCCCCCCGACTGCAACTGTGGTTTGTGTATGCATGTTCCCTTTTTTATCAGATTATTTTTCTGAAAATTTAGATTGTCATTAGTCTTTAATTTTCTTTTATTTATTTTTTGCAGATTTTTTTCTGACTCGATCAAATCTCGTGAGCTTCCCTCCCTTCTCATTTCTTTGTTTTTTTCTACTTTTTTTATTTGTATTTCTTCCAAAATAATAATAGAACAATATAACTGCTACCTGATACTAATTAACATCTTAACATAAGCTCTAAAGAAGTGGCAGGCAACCTCTCCCCTGAAAAAAAATCTAATAAAAAATTGAAACAAATTGAGCTCCCATATTTGAGCCCCTACCTGGAATTGGACCTATTTGGACCCTGAATTATGGACCGTACTGTGAACCTGACAGACATTGGGCGTCGACCCAGTTTTGATTCTTGATGTTTGGACTTTTTAACCAGATTTTCACCTCACATTGGACTAAATCGAATTTACTTGAACCGTTCAGCAAACTAAATAAAAAAAATCCTAGACTGGTAAAATAGCTTCATGTCTGGGTAAAATAGATAAATGCTAAAGAAAAGTTACGATTATCTTTATGGAGTTCTTAAAATCGAAAAAAACTGAAATAGAAGGAAAAGATTATTGCTGAGGAATTTTGGACCTCCAACACGTTTGATATTGCAGTTGTTGGTATTAGTTTTTTTACTTTGTGCCAACAGTTGCCTTGATTTCCCCGAGGGAGTTTCGTGGCCGATTAGTAATATTCATTTCCCCATGAAATGACATATAGGCGGCTTAAGATTATGTGATTCGAGTATTTTTTCTCTGGGTTTTCACACATTTGGATGAACTTTCTTCGTGTGTTGGACGTGCTAGAATCATCTTATAAATTTACTTATGGAGTGAGTCCGTACAAATACTTACATCTTGTGCTTTTGTGAACCCTTTGCAGTTCTTCAAAGTTGTTTGATCACGCTCCATTAGAGAAAAAGGTAATTCCAACCCCCTTCCCAAGGTTCAAAGTTTAATTGAGCTTAAATAGAATACAATGATGGGTTTGCTTGTGTGGTTTGTAATTATTAACAAATTATGTATAATTAATTATTTATTTTTTCAACGAATATCTTCTCATTTCATACGGATAATCTCGATCTTCTATTTTCATCGATATAATGATCTTAAATATGTATAAAATCAAAAGAGTTTTGTGTAATGGGGTTCTATCTCATATACTAGAATTTTGATATGTAGATATTTTATTTGATTTATGCATCAATAATATCAGTATTGGGTATTATAGTAAATTTTCAGCTCGAACATTAAGCTATTTTTTTAAGTTTATTATAGACTTGGTATTTATTTTGATCTATTTATTTTAGTGACACTTTCATTTTAAATTTTTTATTCTCAATTGATATTATGTTAAAAAGAAATGGCGTGAATATAATAAATTGATATTGGACGATCATTCTCATAATGAATTTTTATAGTAAAAATCTAAATTAATTGATTAATAGATCAAATATTAATGATTAAAGAAAAAATAACAACGGTCCAATTTCATAGTATATTGAAAGAAAATGAATAACATATTTTTTAGAAAAATCTTTTAAAAAAACTAATTAAAATGTGAAATAGTTTTTTTAAATTATCATGAATTTGATAAAAAAACGAACTCAAAAATTATAAGAAATATCTATAATTTTTATTTTTTTCTATTTAAAATATAATTATGTTTTTTTTTTAATTTTTAAAATGAATTAAGCATTATTGCAAAATTTAAAGAATACAAATTTAAATCCATAAATTATGTTTTTTCAAATAAGTATTTTTGTAATTTTAAAATTAAAAAAGCTCAAAAGAAATATAAATTAAAAAAATCATTTTCTATAAAATGAAGTAATTTAATAAAAATAAACAAATATTTTTGATATTATCCCTTTTTAGGGTTTTTTTAATGTTTTTAACATACAATTATATACCGAATAAAATATAATTATAATATTTAAAAATGTTAATATTAAAAATACATGTATATATATATTCATGTTCTTATTCAATTTTTTTATTTTTTATTTTTAAAATATACCGTCACAAAATAAATTTTAATTTGGCCAATTGATAATGATGAAATGGAAGTTAAAGAGTCAAAATCGTTGTAAAAAAGTAGAGGAATTAAAATCTATATTTTTTAATAAAAAATATTTATTTAATCTTTGCTATAAATATGTTTTATTATATAATTTTTTCTTTTTGAATTAATCACCATGTCTGATTTAATGATCAATTAATTTAAATCAGGTAAAGCAGAGGTAATGACGATCTTCCTAACTCAATTTGTTCTATTTACAAACATCAGAGTTTGAACCTTACTTAAAAAATCTAGTGTATTAGATCAACTGATTTTGATTGTTTTATTATATAATTAATTGGTTAACATATATATCTTTTTCATATATATTATGTGATGTTTTTATTATTAAATGCAAAAAATTATGTGGAGGACTTATTGACACGTGAAAACATAAAGTTTCATCATCATGTGTCGTATATGCATTTGTTTTTATATGAATCTTTCTTTACTAAAATCAACCATTTTACACATTTGAGTTTTAATTGTTTTATACATTTTAAAAATATGTAATAAAATTAAGTTTTACTTTATCTATTCAAATATTTGTGTGACAATTTTATTTTATATAAGATTAAAGTAAAACTAATTAATTGTATAAATAAACTTGATTTTATTGAGCAATTATTGATAAAAATTATGGGAATTAACTATGAAATTCTATTTGTAAAAGAAAATGTGTAAAATAAATTATCTAGTGTATTTTTTTTCAATAAAAAAAGTTATACAAAAAACTTAAAACAAAATTTTTACAAGGAATTTTAATTAATTTTTTTTATGTAAACATATTAAGAAATTAATGAAACATTTAAAAAAATAAATTCTTAAAAAGAAACGTTTTTTATTCTAAGTTATTTTATATGATTCAAATATTTTTTAATTGGTTAAAACTTATTTTTAAAGTTTTTTATTCTAAGGTTATGATCGATCTTTTAGATATTTAGTAGTTATTCAGAGTACTTATTAGAGAGATATCTTTAACCTAATATCTTCTTGCAATATGAATTCCTCTATTATTAAAAATATGAATTTCTATAGCAATTAGCAGTTGATTTTATGTGTTCAAGGACGGACACAAGATTTTAGGTTAGGGGATGAAATTTTAAAACGTTAAAGGAGCGGACACATAAAAAATGCACATTTGTTGATACAAAGAGTTTTAACTTTATCACAATTTACATTCAAGTTTACACTTTATGTGTCAAGATAACATTGTGTGTATTCAAGATAGCATTATGTGTATTCAAACTCTGCTATACACCTTCACAAGTTTACCTGTGGACCATGAAGGAACCAATAAAAATGCTTAATTATAAGAAATAACTGTCATATTGCATGCAATGCTTGTTATGATTATGCTTATAATGTTATTTGAAATATTTGCATGATGTTTTGACTTAATATTTTGATAATTTAATTATTTTATAATTGTAATAATTTCCAATTTAAATGATCTAACGTGGGATTTTGTTTTTCATGCACAGATTTGAGTTATATAATAGCAATTGATCGAAGAGCAACACATAAAGAAATGAGTCATATTTTGCTCAAAGTCAAGCACGATGACACTTGCCATTGTTGGATTGTAGTTGTTAAGCTTACTGGCCGTTTTCAAGTTTGGAGTGATAATAGTATTCATGAATTATACATGTTTAGACTAAACTACATGCTTTATTTTGTGATATGCCATAATGAAAAATTGTTTTACATGTGCAAATACGTGCATAAAGTGTGCTCCAATTATTGAGTTCATGATTAGGAACAAACTAGGCATGTTTTTAGCTAAACTAAGGTTTCCAAAGTTGTTAATTTTTGTTGGTGTTGTGATATTGATATCACACATTTATGAGTTGATTTTTTAAAACTTTGAAAACAGATTTGATATCTATACTATTGGTTAAGTATGGATAACTAAATGATGGTGTTGATTTTAGAGATCAATAACCGATATCCATTTACTTTATGATTTTTTTTTTAAATATCGACACTCAAAATTGTATTAATTTTATTTTTGGTATCGATACTAAATTAAGAGTACTGAAACATTAGGTACTGTATCGATACCCTTGACAGAAATTTTAAAATTTAATGATAAGAACTTTGAAAAAGGGCTAATTGTTTAAGTTCTTATAAAATTTTAATCGGTTTTCAAAACTTATGATTTGGGTTTAAATTATTCCCGATACTATTTTAATATGCAAATATGACATCTTCAATCTTGTCGATTGTACGATATTAGAACAACCTTGGAAGATTCAAAACTCCAAATTTAGGAAAGAAACTTGCAACAACGTAGTTGCTAAAAAGTCACCTCTCTAGATGAACTTTGAATCAAAGATTTAGCTTACAAATTTCCTTTTATTTTTTCTCGTAGATTTTAAAAGTTTACATTATTGTCTTTTAAATAAATAAATATAATTTTTAAAAATTTCGATAAAAAATATTTATCCTCAAAATCTATTATTCAAACCAACCCATAGATTTTTTTTTACTAAAAATGTTCATGATTTTCACGTTGATTCTAAGGGTCTGTTTGTTTGTCTGCAATTGATTTTCTGGAAATTGAATTATGGAAAATAAATTACTGGAATTTGAATTCTGGAAAATGAATTACATTTCTGGAAAACGTTTTCCGGAAAATGTTTTCCGTAAAATAAATTACATTTTTCTGAAAAACATCTGGAAAACGTTTTACGATGTTTTGAAGATATTGGTTAACATTTTTTCACTAGTTGATGAGTTTTTTTTAAATTATTTATTACAAATATTAACTAAAATAAATAATATTATTTATCATAAAACTTAATATTATTTTTTAAAATATTAAAATAAATTCTTTATTATTAAATGTTAATTTTATAATTTTATCAATAAAAATATTAATATTGGTTTATTTTATTGAAATAAAAATATTATAAATTATATTAATTATTTATTAAAGTAGTAATGTTATATTATATTTTAAAAATATTAATAGTATATTTTAAATATCTTTATTAAAATATTATTAGATTATTTATTAATATTAAATATATAATAATTATTCATTATTAAAAATTAATAATATTATTTCTAAGAAATTAATAAATAATATAAATTTTATTAATAATTTATATATTATAAAATAAAAATATATATTATATTATTAGAAATATTAATAAATACATTTTAAATATTTATAATTAATATATGATTAAAATGATATTAAAATATTTATTAATATTAAATTCATAAAATAAAATTATTTTGAATATTTATTTTTTTAAAGTTAAAAGTTCATAAAATGACTTAGAAAAATCAGACTGTAAGTTATTTTTCAGAAAACACAAAGAAAATTCTGTTGACAAGGAAAATGTTTTACATTGACAACTATTTTTCCTCCAACCAAAACACTGAAAAATATTTTTTTAAAAACGAATTACAGAAACAAACACATGATTTCGGAGAAAATCAATTCCGTAATTGATTTTTTTCCCGAACAAACATATCCTAATTTCAAAATAGAAAAAAAAAAGGAGACAAGTGGCGAAATAAAGATAGGTCATAGGTGTATAAGCAAACAAATAGCAATTATTTGAGAAATGATGGATATATATAATTTTCAAACAAAATCATTACAGGACAAATGTAAATACTTGAAGAGACAAGAGAAGTTGGATTGTTAGTTTCCCACAACCAATAGCGAAAAGATAAATAAATATTGTCGAGAACCCGAGGTGATCTGTCGCAGCTTCAAAGTTCCACGTATGAGATCCACAATGACACGTTACTAAAACAGTTTATCGGTGTACCAACTTATTAGTATTACATCTTTGTTAGATTGAGAGAAAAAATTAGCTGACCCTATTTTCATATGTAATGGGATAAACAGAGGTAGGATAGTAGGTTGTCCTAACGTCAAGTTGAAAACAACTTTCGTGGGAGACCTTCAACATTATGAATTGTTCACCGTGGGACTCAATCCCACGACCACAAGGTTAAGAGCTTTGCGCTCTACCAACTGAGATGAACAGGCAATTCTGTTAGATTTAAAGAAAAATAACTTATATAACGTGTTTCTCATAAATATATCAAATTATTATTATAACTATTTTAAATTATTTTAAATCAAGAAAATTGATATAAAAGGATGCACATTAAAAATCAAATAATATATATACTCAATTGGGTGTTTAGTTGATCTCCCTCATCATTTGCGTATCAATCTTGTTTTTTTCCTGATCGTAAACAATATTTTATCATATAAATATTTACTTGCTAATAGTTATTCTTTCAAATTTGTATACATGGTTAAAATTCCTATATTTCAAGTTATTAAAATTATAATTTAAATAATTGTTTATAATTAAACAATAATATATATTTAATACATATTTATCATCTTATGGAAGATTAGTAATTTATAAAGCAAAATTATGGGTGAGCATACCATATTACTGACGTTAATGATTAAAATAAAAATATTTTTAAATTATGACGGTCAAAATATAAATGTTCTAAAATTATATTTAATTTTTTTACTTACTTTAGTGATGAACTAAATTAATTATTTTTATCATAAAAATAATTTTTTAGATAATTGAGTTTAGGGTCAATGAAAAAAACTATTTTGATATATTATATTTATTAAAAATTATTATTATCATCTTTAGAAAATAAAAAATAAATTTATGAATATTTGAAATGTTTTTCCCCACCACGTGAAAAACTTTGATTGTCAACTTCTAGCGTCACTTCTCCAAATGAAGTTTTGCCAAAGGAGGTCGGTCCCAAGGATACGTGGTGATCTGCCTCAGTCTTCTAGCTAAAATTAAACTGCGATGGCTGCCTGCTGCATGCTCAACCATTCTTCACACACCAGTAACTTTCTTTTCTTTGCTTATAAATACCCTTGCTCTTATGTGACCTTACAACACTTAGAACCTCCTCCAAAAAAGGGTTTTTGAGCTTTTCTATTCTCTCTCTCTCTCTTTTCAATCGTATTTTTGCAACCAAAATGGCTGGAATCGTTGTGGTTTTTGATTTTGACAAAACCATCATTGACTGTGATAGTGATAATTGGGTTATTGATGAACTGGGTTTTACCGACTTGTTCAACAAGCTTCTCCCTACCATGCCTTGGAATTCTGTCATGGTATAAAATCTGTCATATTTTCTATTTGAATAATAAATATTAAACCCAATGTCTAAAATACATTTACGTTTTTGGTGGCATAAAATTATAGGACACGATAATGAAAGAGATCCATGCACAAGGAAAAACCATTGATGACATTGTTGAGGTTCTGAAACGAACTCCTATACATCCTAGGATCGTCCCGGCTGTTAAATCAGCTCATGCCTTAGGGTATGATTCTCTTCTTCCTTCTTACACCAAACTAGTTGTCTGTAAAGTAACTCATCCTTTTTTCTTTTTCTTTTTTTCAGGTGTGAACTGAGGATCGTAAGTGACGCAAACATGTTCTTCATCGAGACAATCCTGCAGCATCTTGCACTGAAGGAATATTTCTCTGAGATCACCTCAAATCCAGGCTTTGTTAATGAAGAAGGGAGGCTGAGGATCTTCCCTTACCATGATTTCGCCAAGTGTTCCCATGGCTGCAGCCTCAATCTTTGCCCCCCGAATATGTGCAAGGTATCATATCTTTAATTGAAGTTTGGTCTATAGTTTATTATTTAATAATAATAATAATAATCCAACTAGCTTGGAGTTGTCATATATTTATTTATTTATTTTAAACTTGTTTTTCCCCAACTTTCTTTTCTGCTCTTAGCGTTGACGAGGGTCACAAATTTCTAAAATATAATATGATGCTATTAAATTTAATCTTTGGGTTGTGCTTTGCTTTGTAACAGGGTGTGATTATGGAAAGGATTCAAGCTTCCTTAGAGGGCAAGAAAAAGATCATATATCTTGGAGATGGTATTGGCGATTTTTGCCCGACCCTAAAGCTTGGAAAGAGTGACTATATGATGCCAAGGAAGAATTTCCCAGTTTGGGATTTAATTTGCAGGAACCCTATGCTCATCGAGGCTGAGATTCACGAATGGAGTGATGGCGAAGATCTCGAGCGAATACTTTTGCAGCTAATCAACATGGTTTCTGTCGATCCTCGATTCATCTCTGTGGACTGCAAACTGCAAACCTTTTCGGCATCCAACCTTACTTTGCCCAAGCCCCTGCCTGTTCGTCAGTAGAAGTGATGTTTTAGGTCTTGTTTCCCTCTAATTGAAGCATGGTTGAAATAATTGTAGAGTTATTATCCTAGTTGGTTGAGTCTTAATTATAGAGGTCATAATTCAAGTAAGTTTAAATTTGAACGTACAATAGTCTTGATTAGAAGTTCAATGGTTATATATATTACTTTCGGTTGTTGAGTTGATCTAGCGTGATAATATATTAGATCATTTGAATAAAATATATTAAGTTGGGACAACTGTTCTTAGAATATATCTTTATCGTATCTAATTAAATTAATCGATTAATGAATCCAATATAAGTTATATTAAAAAACAAATTATTTTAAATTAAATTTATTGTTTTACCGAAAGAGATGTAAAGTATGTTGTATTGTATGTATTAAGGGGGTTTGGTTCAAAGATTGTGGGATTTCCATGGGATGAGAATCCCACATTCCCATGTTTGGTTAGCCGGAAATCTCATTCCCGGTAATGTTTTATTATCAATAGTAGATTTTTTGGGGTATATTATCGGGAATGTCATTACTTCCTTTCCCTTAGGTATTGTAACATTACCGGCGTTTTGGACTAAAATGCCCTTAAATTTTTATTTTTTTTCAAAAATATCCTTCTTCTGTCATTGATTAATAAAAATTCTACGAAGGTTAAATTACAAATTTATCCTTAAATTATTTTAGATTTACAAAAAAATCTATAATTAAAATTTTATATGAAGTTCAGGGATTAAATTTTTTTTATCCTTTCATTAAACCTTTTTTATATTTTTAATTTTTTTTAAAAAAATTATATAAATATTATGAATTTAATTTTTTAAAGAAAATATATAAATATTTTACAATTTGTAATATTATACAAATATATAATAAGGATAATTTGGTCAAATATACATTATAATAATCTTTTATTCCTTTAACAAAATACGATAATCTTACATTCCTGCTAAACCAACCAAACACAAAATACAACATTCACCGTAATTCTATTTCCTGATAATCTTTTATTCCAACTGGTAATCTTACATTCGTTGAATCAAACAAACCCTAAAACGTATGTGGCCGTCATAAGTCAATGTGGACCAAAGTTTTAAGACAAAAAAAACCAGTACCTAATAGTTGTCCCACCACCATGCCGTGCAGGTTTTGGATTAGAGATCATCTTTTGAAATTTGCTATTATTATCATCACTTCTGGGTTTAGTCTTATTGGTACTATTAGTAAACATAATCATCTTTAAGAGATAACATCCAACAAATTTATTATTAGAATCTCCCTATCCTTTTCTTACCATATTTTTGGAGATTGATGGCACTTATCAGCTTCAGTTTTTGTTCATGCTGGTCTCCACATATGATAATTAATTTTTTTTCTTTTATGGAGAAACAACAAAAACTATCAAGGCAAAAATAAAAATTTAAGTGTTGTTTGATGAATTAAAAAGATTATATTTTTACCGACAACCAATTAGTCTAGTGGGATGAAGACTATCATACGTCAGTGATTCGAATCCTAGTGCTTGCGAATGGAGCAAATTGGGTTTGGAGGGTCACCAACACATCTGCAGTAACCGATATGAATTAGTCGATCAATATTAGTGGTTATAAAAAAATTATATTTTAAATATATGGTTTTATAAGTTTTGAATTGATATTATAAATTTGTTTGATATATTAATAAAAATTAAGTATTGAATATAGATATTATATTTAATATTAATTTTGTATAATTATTCACTTCATAATTTTAAAATTATTAATACAATGCTTTATATTATTAAGGATGAATTTATATAAAGCTATCACTTGTTTAGAAAATAAGAAATAATTTCCCGAGAGGTAAGTAATTATCTTACCACTCGTCTTATTTAATTTTTTTTAAAATAGTATTAAATATAATTATCAATTATTTAAATGTTCTATTAGAAAACTATATTAATGTTAAAAACAACTTAATATAATAAAAAGTATCATGCTATGTTTGATAAGAATTAATTTATTCCACGTATTAAGAGACAAACCGAGGGTATGTGTAATGGCGGATATAAAAATTTAAATCTTTTATTTTTTTAACATATTAAATTAAATTTTTACTCATGTTAATAAACACGTAACTTCACTTAACATCAATGTATAAATTCGCATAATTGTGTTGAATATAATATTCATAAAAGTGTACAGCTTGATTAGTTTAAATTACCTACCCAGAGGTCCCCACTAAAGTTCATGAGATAAAAAGACTATTGACCAGACACCCACCGCATTACTTGTATAGAAGTTCATCCAGGGTTATAAATTACTCAAGTTCTCGAATATTATTGTGTTTGATTCGATTTAAAAAATATAAAGTTAAGTTTGATTTATTTAAAAACTCATTAGTTTAAAATTGTTTAGCTCCACTAGAATTCAAAAATTCAAAAATTAAAATTCAACTCGAATCGAAAGTTCGTGAGCTTAAAAATTTTAAGCTCGACTCAAAATCAAAATTTGAAGTTTGATATGAGCTCGAAAAAACTTGTACTCGAAATATTTCAGATTTAACTCAATTAAAGCTCAAACTCAAGGTGAACCTAAACATTAAGTGCATAAAAAAATTTATATTGTATTTAAAAAAACAACAAAATATAAATGTTAATATTATTAATATTTTAATTTAAAAAGTATTAAAATTTAATATACAATTTTCTCGAGTTGCTCTTGAGTTTTAAATAACTAGTTTCAGCTCGTTAAGAATTTGAATTGAGTCTATTTGATTCAAGAGTTGATCAAACTTTGACATAATCAATCTCGAATAGCTTATGATTTGATTCATCTCATTTACAATCTAAATAGGGATGGGCATGGGTCGGATCGGGTCAAATTTTCCGTCAATATGATCCAACCCGAAAATTATACATCCTCTACCTGAACCCAACGCAATATGAAATAATATATTTATTTAAATAATTTTATTTTTATTCAATAAAATAGGGATTTAATTGAAAAAAATAATATATGGAGGGGCATTATTGCAACTATCCCTAAATATAAAGGTAAAATTATATATTTTTCTCGAGTAGGGTATTTTTCATCCTAAATCCGAACCCGATATGACCTGAACATAATTTCTAAAAAAATTCGATCCGACCCGATCCAAACTCAATTTTTTTTAAAAAAAACTAACCCGATCGTGTCGGGTCGGAATCCGTTAGATTCGAGTCGCATACCCACCCTTAGTCCTAAGTTCATCATCGGCGTCAAAGACCGGACTGAATTATATATTTAGAGAAATATAAGATTTATCTTAAGAGACATAAATTTAAGAAATTATATTAAAATTAAGAAAAAGAATGAAATTATAAATTTTAAAATATGTGAAATTAAATTATTAATAAGAAATATTTAAATTATAAACAAAATTGAAAGTTCTAAAAAGTGTGACGCACTCCCAAGCCCCTTATTATTCCGTTCGTGTTTTGATATGTGTAATATTTTACAGCTTTTAAAGTCGTATTAATACATCTATGTACTTTGTAATTAAAATTCAGAAGTCTAAATTTTATCAACCAGAATTAAGTACAAAAATAAAATATTTTGAGTTTGTATTTTACCTATTTGTTAAGGTTGAAATCAATGAATCATAAATTACATTGAAAAATAGTGCAAAACAAATATCCATATGTATTTACGGACATAACGCTACTTCCAGATCTACCGATGATTTGGAATTGTTTTCCTCTTTGTTGGAATATAAATTACAGTGGTTCTAGAAATTGTTTTACATGGAGCAAGACCTTTCATATTTATTACACTTTAAGTCATAAGAGTCGAATAAATTAAGGATACTTAATTTCTTACTATATATTTCATAAAAAGCTAATGCTTAACGCAAAATAAGTGTTCTTAGAATTAATTTTAGGTATGTAAAATTGTTTCGTTAAAAGTTAGGTGCCTAATGTTTCTAACGTTATATTTTTAGATGCATTTCATTAAATTTAATAGTTAAGTGACACGTGTCATACTTATAAAATTTAAATTTTTATTTTAAAATAAAAATATAATTTATTTATTAAAAAACATATTTTTTTCTTAAATCTAAAATAACCCAAAACTATAAAAACCCTAATTCAAATCCCTTCACTCATTATGCTCGGTCGTTGTCGATGTTGTCTTGGTCGTCGTCCTTTGTCGACGACCACTTCATTTAATTGGATTCCAACGTATGATGTGGGGAATCGTCATTTGAATTGTTGGAATCACCGCTCATAATCAAAATCAATAAGTCGTTGCAATCGCCCATTTTTTTTGTTGCGATCATCGCTTGAATGCGGGGTTCGATCATTGAGTGTTCGTGTGGTTGGATGCTGTCTAGATTTCGATCAATTGGCGACAGTTGTGACGGCCGGTAGTGGTGAGGGGATTGGAATAGGGTTTCTTGAGTTTTTAGGGGTTTTATAATTTTAGAAAAAAATTATTTTTTAAATAATAATTTGAATATATTTTTTAAATAATAAATTGAAGTTTTTTAAAATAAAAAATTGAAATTTTATATGTCTGATATATATCAAATAACAATTAAATTTAATAACAGTTACGGTCTAGACTCTTAAAACTATATAAACACTTATTTTTAACGAAAAATTCTTTAAACACCTAAAATTAAGTTTTTAGATCATTTAAACACCTAAAATTCTTTAAACACCTAAAATTAAGTTTTTTAACGAAAAATTCTTTAAACACCTGAATTAGCTCAATTTAAATTGGATGCCGGGCCTGAGCAAAGAAAATGTCCAATGACATTTAGTCTGAACCCGGGCTACATGTAACTATAACACACCTACAATTTTGAAATAAATTTATTAAATCAATAAATTATAATAGTATTATTTTAATTAAGTTATTTTTAAAATATATATTTTTAATAATTTTAATTTATTCTGATATAATAATAATCTATACTTGCAGTTAAAAAACAATCCCCTGATTGGTGTCCTTTTGACACATGCCCAAGGCTTTTACTCTTTTTGTCCCTTCAAATACTCAAGTCATTCATCACTCTTCCATTCTGGCTGTTTGAGCTCCCACAACTAAACAATTAAAATCTTAAAAAAATCTATTAAGTTTTTTAATATAATTCATTATTTGATCTTAAATTATGCATATTTAAAAAAATTATTTGATTTAAAAGAAATTTAAATTTATATATTCATATTTATCATCTAAAATATCTATAATAATAATTTACTATACTAATGAGGACTACGT